GGTTTGCAAGTTACAGGCAACAGAGGCAAATGCTGTTGTAAACAACACGCACTAGTGTTGGTCTACGAAAAGATCCTTGGGACAGACATGCAGGCAGGACAGGTGCAGGAGGGAGAGTGGAAGCACAGGCACAAATATACATAATCTATCCATGAAGGGGGTGGAGCAGGCAGGGGGCAAAGTTACAAACACTTCTCAGACATAACCAAGCACCCTGAGGGAGCGAGTTGCTGGGCCTAGGGGCTCAGAACCATGGTCTCTGGGGACACCATAATCAGCTGGCATATCATAGTTCACACTAGTCCATGAGCTGCTTTGGGGGTACTAACGGGTCTTCAAAGGCCAGGAGCACTCCTCTAAGGTACCACTATTAGTGTCTTCCCGTGCTCTCAGAGAAGAGCACGTGGAAACAGTCCACGGGATCTAGAGCCCCCATAAACATCAGCCACCTCAACCCTGCACCTGAAGAACGAGATGGTGCGTGCCACCTCCTACCAAGGGCCCTGCAAAGGGTCACAGGGAAGGTCTGGGATCGAATGGGAGACTATGTGGACCAGAACTCCAAATTATCAAAAAGAGACTGACAAGGCCTCCAAGACTGAAGCCCCTCAGACACCCATCAGGTCCGTTCCTGAACTCACCCCCATGTTAGTTAGAGTCATCCTCCACTTAAGATCAAATGGGCAGCCTTTTCCCAAGGACGGTTTTCAGAGGGTGAGGAAAGGAGGAGGAGTGGAAACACTGAGAAGGTGGGATAAGGGATGGTACATCAAGGTAACTGCACTGCATGAGTGAAACCCAACTGTGTATGAACTACTGAATGTTCAACTGATGATCTGCTCTATAAGCCTTCACTTAACTCTCACGCACGCGCGCGCAGAAGAGCCAGGAGTGGAGTGCATCCTCTGGTCCCCATATTGAGCTTCCTTGATCCAGGGACAGAGAGCAGTGACATCAGGGAAGCAGTGGGAGAGTGGCGGCAACCAAACCAAGAGCCAGACTCAAGCAACTGAATGGTGGGCTTCCCAGCCAACAAAGAGAGTAAAGCTGAGTGCCTTTCGGAGGGAGCGTACTCGCTGAGTGGAGAGCCGCCAGGTACATAACTGGGGAGCCAGGTTTGCTAAGTGCCTTCAGAAGGGCCGGCATGGCCTTTGGGCAATTATTAGCAGTGCTAAGAGCTCTGTAACACTGCCTGAGCAGGGCAGAGGCCAAGGGCCAGAGAGAGGTGTGTTTTGGGACGTGGTTAAGAAGCTGTCCTGATTGAAAGAAGTGTGTCCTAAGCATTTCTGATCCTGAACTGTAATCTAAGAACTTCCCTATATACTCCCTAACTGTGAGTATTGTCTGGGAGTTGTGTGTGGCCATTGCAATGAATTGTCAAGCCCATCAGAAATGTAGCATGGGGGGGGGGGGGCGCGGAGGGAAAGAGGATAGCTAGTATCAGGATTGGTAAAATGGTTGGCGGGTAAAAGTGTGTCAGGCCCCTGCCTCATAGGAATCACCCTTGGGGGGGGGGGGGGTGACGAGTTTGACTCTTTCTCCCCCTGTGAAGTCAAAGAAGCTGAGATGGAAGTGGCCTTCAAATCTTTTTTTGCAAAAGTCAAAACCAATTCACTGGCCAAGTATAAATATCCTTTCTTACTCTCTTTGACAATTAAAGGTATGGAGCACCAATTTGCTCCTGGAAAAACTGCTGCAGAATTAGACTCCCAAGTCATAAATGTCCTCGACCTTGTTCAAGGTAAGAGGCGCTGGCAACTTTCATTGAACACGCTCATCACAGTTCATGGGAAAAAGATCATTCAACTATCACATTTTAGTGTCTTTTTGATTTATCAAGCAAGTACTAATTCATTGAAACTCATTTAAATTCATTTGAACTCATTGCTTTCTCTCCCATGCACAGGAAGTCCACATTTTCTCCAGGACCAGCATGGAAAGAGTGGTGATGAACCTCTTTCTTAATGTAAATCAGATTTCAGTTCCGTGACTTCCTTTGTTCTTTCCCTGGATGTTTTCTAAGAAGCTGCAGTGGACACACACAGGGGAAATGCAGATGCCAAAATACATCAGGCACCCAGAAGCCCAAACCAGACTGGTCACTTTGTAAAGCCTCTAAGATCAGACCAAGAGATAAAGCTCAGAGTGGATCACCTCATCTGAGCCACATCAATTAAAACGCAAAAACAACTCACTGCCAGGGAGTTAATTCTGACTCACAGTGATTGTAGAGGGCGGAAGAGAACTGCCCCATGGACAGTCCGAGGCTGTCACTCTTTATGGGAGCAGCCAGCCTCCTCTTTCTCCCATTGAGTGGCTGGTGGTTTGGAAGTGCTGACCTTGCGGTCAGCAGCCCGACTCGTCACCAGGCCTCCTCACGGCAATTAAAAAGGGAGCGAAGTCATCAGGTAATGATGGCGTGTGATGGAACATTTCATCTGGGGCCTGGCCTGGGCCATAGCTCCTTAACTCAAACAGTGGTGGTGTCGTCTAATGAAGGCCAATGGCTCTTACAGAAGTTTCTTTTGTCTAGACAGAGGGCCACTTCTGACTTCAAGGGGGCACATGACAGATGTAACATGACTGTGGTGGGGGACAAGCAAATGGTGAGCAGCCAGCATCCACTACATGGATGCCACTCACCCGGCTCAATTTTTACCAACCAAAAGGAAGCCAATGATGCTTTGCCTCAAACATGTCTTCACTAGGAGGAAACAGTATCAGATCTCAAATTTCTAGATTCCATCTTGCAGAAGGTTTTGGATGGATGACAGTGGGAGCCCAAGATACATTTGTGAGCTCTACACAGGAAACACGCGTGCGGTGACTTCCCTCTATACATAATGGAGGGCTGGGAATAAGCGGATTATAAAACAGAGGACATTGGAGAAATGACTTTAGGAGATCAAAACGATCAACCGGACTTGAACAGTGAAAACATTGTCAGTTGATCCCTCCCATACACCTGATACTGTTTCCAACATTTTAATGTGGGGTTTTTTCTTTCTTCTTTTTCTTTCTATTGGGTTTACCTCTGATGTATTTTGTCATTGGGGGATAGCCCTCTTGAATGTTTGCTGTATGTTTTTCCGTATATGAAACCCAGGATTGATGAACCCTACAGAGAGACCGGGTAAGAGTGAGGGCTCCTGGTGGGTCCAGTGGGGGAAGGTGGGGTTTGTGTGTGTGTGTGTGTGTGTGTGTGTCAAAGGAAGCTGCTATCAAGGAGTTCAAGAAGAAAATGTTTTGAAACCGCTGCAGTAGCAAATGTACAACACTGTTTGATGGGCCGGAACTATGGAATGACTTGATATCTGTATCCCTTCCCAATAAAAAGGTTTAGGCCGTGGAGTAAAGTTTTAAAAATGCCTTAACTATTCGGGCCAGTTTGACCAGCCAAGGCCAGGGCTTCAGTGCCCTGGATAAAATGAGTGAGCCCGGCAAGCACAACGACACCAGACGTCAGAGGCGATTACAAAGCCTTATCCTGTTAAATCTGTTAGCCTGTAACCCGATGGCACCAACACCTCCCAGAATCGCTCAGATGCCTTTACGGCAAGGTTTCTCAAACGAGACACAATTGACATCTGGGGCCAGATAATTCGGTCGTGGGGGAAGGCCTGTCCTGGGCACTGGGGGATGTTGAGTGACACCCCCCACCATGAGGTGCCCAAAGCAGTCCCCCACTACTGCCAAACACTCCCTGGGGGCAAAATCACCTCCAGTTGAAGACAAGAGCTGGGAATCTGTTGAAAAGAGATGACAATAAATAAAAGTCAAGGAAGCAAAGGCCTCTGTCCAGACCGGACAGGGGGAGACACTCATACTTGAGAAGGGAGCAACCTCCCTAGGGAGTTGGTTCAAACGCCGTTTCCTGAAAGAAGAGTGACCAAAATCGAAAGACACATGGAGACCATTAGTCCACTGGATCAACAGGTCCCACAAACATCTGTCTCTACAGCCCTGAACTACATGGTGCCCGGCTACCACTGCCAACTGCCCCGAAAAGGATCGCAGAAAGTCCTGGATAGAGTGGGTGGAAAAATGCCGACCAGACCCCACCCCCAACTCATCAACGATTCTAGGCTTACTGGTCCGAGAGAGATGGGTAGGGGCCCACAAGCCGATGGGCTTCTTTTGGTACTTCAGGTCTCCCCTAGATATTCGAATCACCAGCCATTTAAAATCAAAAGGGCAGCAGTGAGCCAAGGACGAAGTGCAGAAAGTAAGGAAAGGAGAAGGCATGGAAGCAGGGGACTCGGGGAGGAAGCGGGAGAGGCGATGGGACCTCGAGGGGATGGCAATGGCTGAGGGGAATCGGAAAGTGTGTGGATGGTTGGATGCAGCGCTATGATGTGCTCTGCGGTCAACTGTCATCTGATGCTCCAAAGAGAGTCTTAAAACGGAAGAAAAAGCTGAAAAGGTTTCCTGGACTTTGCTCCCTGCCTAGGATTATCATGGGGTCCTGGGTATGCCCACATGAATACCAACACCCTCCTCTTTTGCTGAGAAGTTAATGTGGGCCAGAGAGGGGAAAGGACTTACCCAAGGTCACACAGAGCAAGTTAGATCTCCGGCCTCCAAACCTTCCCAAAGCCCCTTCCTTACAAGCGTGGGGTGTGGGGTGTGTTTTCCAGAGAGGGCAGCAGATCTAAAGTTGGAGCCTCATGTCGCAATGGTTCCACCCTGGCGCCCCCAGCCCCTTATGAACCTTGACTTGGCAAACTGATTAGCTACACAAAGATCGGTCGACACCCGGAGAACCTGCGTTTCCGGACAAATGAAGAAAAATCCCTTACCCGCTGGGCTGTTAGAAAGGTTCGAATGAGATCACGTACAGAAAGCCCTGGGCACAACGCCTGGCACACACGGAGCACCCAATACATGTCCCGTTACCGTCCTTGTCCCACAATGGCAACGCTGAAGAGGGGCATGGGAATGGGCACGGGGCCCGCCGGAAGCGACCCCCAACTGCCCGCTCCCCGGAGCCCGACCCGCACCTGGTCCCGCAGCTCCTTTTCCAGCTGCCGGTAGTCGTTGTTCCAGACCAGGAGATGGAGGGGGAAGGGGCCGCCGGGGTCGCGCCTCGAGGACATGGCGGGGAGGCCGCAGCGGGGCCCTCGGCCGCCCACTCGCCCCAAGCCCCTGTCCCGGCGGGGGAGAGAGGGCGCGGCCGGCGAGCCGGCTGGGGGGGCGGGGGTGTCTTCGAGGCCCGGTGCGGGGTGCGCCGCAGGTCCGGGGTCGCGGGCCGGGTCGGGGACCGGTCGGCCGCGCCCACCCCGCGCCCCGCCGGCGCTGACAGCTCCGGAACGGACTGCTGGGGCCGAACCGTCCCAAACCCGGAAGTGCGGGGAGCGAACCACCGCGCGCCGGGCCGGGGGGGGCGGCGAGACGAGGCCGGGCGTCCCGTGCTCGTTTGCCCAACGCCACCTGCCTTCAAGGCCACGGCGGGACGACGGGGGCGTCTCCCCAATCGGTTACAAGGTTTCTCTCGGCTCAGGATCTCGACACAGGAAACGTGGTCAACGCCTCTCCGGACTCACCCCCCCCGCTCCTAGGACCGCAGATGGTCCGGCCCACAACTGGGCCTCTTCCATTGGCCCTGCGGCCAACAACAGGGTCCCGGGCGAAACCATTGGGAGACGGACGCCCCGGCAGCCTTTTTCCGACCGGGCCAGAGGCTTCAACGAGCGCATAGAGGCCATTTCAGAAGAGGGCAACTTCAAGTCACTTTCAAGGAGGGGCTCTAAACCCGGGGCGGCACCCTGGTGCCACCGAGTTCCGCGGCTAAGCAGAAGTTGGTCCGTTGGAACCCCCCCACCCTCCCAAGCAAGGCCTCAGAGAAAGGGGTGGCAGTCGACTCCCTAAAGATTGACAGCCTGGGAGATCCTATGGGGCAGTTCCACTCTGTCCTACAGGGTGACAGGAAATTGGATTTTTAGGGGGTTTGTTTTTGGTTTGCAAACCCCGAAGGCGTGGCATTCGATACGATACTTGTATAATAAAGGAATATTGTATCACAGGGTTTCTCAACCTGAACTTGTTGGGAGTGGACACTGTTGTGGAGGCTCTCTGCTCTGTAGGATGCTGAAGAGCATCCCCTGGCTGAGACCTCCTCTGTGCCAGTCACACACTCTGAAAAGTGGCTCCAGATATTGCCAGCTGTCCCCTGCACGAGAAAAATCGTCTCCCGTTGAAAAATCATGGTTATGTCTAACTGGGTGATAATTCAAAACGACCTAGGATAATGTTTTATCTCATTATTAGGAATGGGATTTCTTTTGGAAGCTAGTCATTGGGACTTCGGATTATGGCTGAAAGGACTGATACCCAGACTTGATCGTAATCCGAAAATAGAAAGTCCGTTCCAACCTCACACACAGTACCTCACAGTCTATGGCTCAATGAAGAACCGGGTCAATTGACAGCTACGTAACCAGGCTGCTTCCGCTCAGCTGTCTACTACTTGACCACATAGCTGGGCTAAAGTTATTCAATGCATCCCGGAAACATCTCCTCAGCTTTCTCTGCCCGTGTACAGCCAGCTTTTCAGATGCCTGTAGCAACAGCTGTTGAAGAATACTAACCTAATCCATTCTCCACACATGCTGAGCGCAGATTGGTGTGGTGGGGGAACCAAAGCAGGATCAAGATGGTTCTTGTAGATGGTAACTCTGGAATGTGTGAGCGCTATGTGGTGATTCCCACACCACACACTTATCCAGCTGGAGACAAGGGCCTAGGCCTCTTCCAGGATTTCTCATTCTTTCAGAAGGTTGTGCAATGTGGTTTTCTTTCTCTCCGTCACTCTGTGTTTCCTGGATCTCTCACCTATCTCATTCGTCTGGAAATGCCAAAACCTGAAGCCAAAACAGTTCCTGGCCCATAGCAGATTTCCAAGATTGAATGGAAATTATCATTGTGTTCACAAATAACACAATAATTATTCAGTAGGAGTTGTATGTATCCTGTCTCTTTCACACTGATGAAACGCCTTGTGTTTATCTCACAGCATCCTGCAAATTACTCTGGATTATCTAGTCCTATTCCCAGAAGACAAGTCTTGGAAGAAAAGGAGATTGGAAAAGAATAGTAATACCAATAATAATTGCAGCTAGTTTACCGAAGGCTTTCTATGGGGCAGCTATGCCACACTTTTCCCATAAATTAATCCATTCGTCCTTGGCCAGTATATAATTGGTTGGGCCTTGTGGTTCCCATTGGAATTTTGGTGTATATTTTTGTTCCTCTTCCTCTTTTATTCCTCTGCCTTCCTCTCCTTCTTCTTTTTAGAGACAGGCACTATTTTACTATTTTAACTTGAGGATTTAATAACGATAGGGAACCAAGATTCCGAAGGTCAGTGGGGGAGGAATCATGGTCATCTTTGCCTCAACAAGTCTTTCCTACATCATCTTCAGTGAGGCTGGCTGCATCACTGCTCTGAGAATGTCTTCTTTCTCTGAGAGCTGCTTAAGGATTTGGTTGACCTCATCCTCTTCAAATTCCAAACACAGAGATTCAGATTCCTGCCCACTGTTCCTCAATTCCAGCAGGGCATCAGGAGAGAGGGTGAGCTGTGTTTGAGCAGAGTGCCTTGACCATGACTTGCCACCTACTCTTTAGCTCAGGCCTTGGAGCCCTTTGTCCCAGTGGCGTGGGCTCCTGAGGCTCTCTTAAATGTTTGTCTTGTGACTCTTCCAGAATTGAGAGATGACAGCAGTCTGGTTGGATGGGATCTCACTTTGCTTTTTTGGCCTGAGCAGTCAAGAATGCCTCCAGCTGACTGAAATCCATGTTTGCAGATGCAATGGACTTAAAGCATCTCCTCATTTTCACCAGGAAGGGGCGGAGCTTCTCAGGCAGTCCTTCTGGGTAAAGCAGGCCCTGCAGCAGCTCCTGTGATACCCAGTGCCCTTGAAAGGCTTCCTGTGCCAGGCTGCTGAGCAGCCTGCTCAGAGGCTTACAGTCCTCATGCTCACCCACACGACCTGTCTTCCATATATATATATATATATATTTTAAATAATCATTTTATTAGGGGCTCATACAACTCATCACACTCCATACATGCATCAATTGTGAAAAGCACATTTGTACATTCATTGCCCTCATCATTCTCAAAACATTTGCTCTCCATCAGCTCATTTCCCCCCTCCCTCTCCATATATTTTCTTTTTTTTCTTTTAAACATTTTATTAGGGGCTCATACAACTGTTAT